CTGCCCCCCGCGACCGGGGCGCGCAGGGAGCCAGGCTTTCTGCGCCGCAGCGCGGGGCGGCCCTGGGCCAGAGGTGCCCCTAGCGCGCGGCTTCTCGGGGGGCCGCGGGGGGGGGGGCAACGGTGGGCGGACAAAAAGTGTCCACACTTGTCGCAACAAGACAACTCGTCGTCAAATCACGTCGAACGAATATGCATACCCCCCTTTCCCCAAACTCAAAGTTGGCGGGGTTAGGCGGCAGGCCGCGCGCCAGGGGCAAGCTCAAGCGCGCAAGACGCTGCTGCCGCATCGCGCGTTCGGCGATCTCGGGGGGCCCCCGCGGGTCCGCGCCGGGCAGCCACTCCGGCGGAGGGTCACTCTTATACGTGCAGTCAGAGGCGGTCCGCACGCGCGTCCAAGCAACCTGGCCCATGGTACTTGCGAATTGCCCCGCGGGCAGCAGGAGAAGACCGGGCCTCGGGGCCGCCAAACATGCAGGGGCCCAGGGGCACACAAACAAACACACCCAAGCCCCAGGATTCCCCACAGATTCCCGGCTTTATGGATGCTCGTCTTCCCCACCCACTTTTCCTCTGGCCTCTCCATCTTTTCCTGGGAGTCGGCCACTCTTTGTGTCTGTCTGTGTATTTCCCCTCCTGAAGAAGACAGCGAGTCGGGAGGCAAAGCCGCTCCCGGGGAAATGGTCGTGAGGTCGGGAGCCCGCCTCGGGGGGCGGGGGCTCGAGGCTCGAGGCGCAGGGACGACACCCGACGACGGCGAGCGGAGATCGGCGGCGAACCAGGGCGGGAGAGGAGGAGGAGGCGGAGGAGGAGGAGGCGGAGGAGGATCGGATGGAAGGCATCTAGCTATACACCACCACCGTGCCATGCCAGGGCCATCCTGGCCCTGGCATGGTGTATACGCCATCCTGGCCGAGGCCAGGAGGATGGCCCTGGCCTGGCACGGTGGTGGTGGTGTATAGACGCCTTCGTCGGTTCTCAGAAGCCTCGGGAGGCCTCCAGCCTTCTGAGCGTCCCGAGCCTTCTCCGAAGACACAGAAGACTTCTCAAAGTTGGCGCGGAGGCTTCTGAGAAGTCCCGCCGCCCTTGGAGAACGCCTGCTGCTTCTCACGTCCCCCCCCAGGGTTCGCCACCCAAGAGAGGCCAGCCTGACGTCACCGAACGACGACGACGTGCGCAAGGGGGCTCGACGTCGCCAAGCAGGAAGGCTGGCCTGACGCCGCCGAACGACGCGAAGAGCGCAAGGGGGCTCGACGACGCCGAGAAGAGGCCAGCCTGACGTCACTGGACACACCTCTTCGATGGCGCGGCCGGTGCAGCGGGAGAAGCGGGAGATGGAGATTCCTCCGAGTTGCATCATATAGGGGGAATCTGATTTGGGGGGGTCTGGTTCGGGCTGTCTTGGCGAGAGAGGGGCGGGTCTGATTTTGATGTCCAAGGGTGTCCAGCGGGAGGCTCTGTTTCGATGTCTGGGAGGTTCTAGGGGGGTCTGCAGTTGTTGTCACAATTTGGCCCAAAGAAAGGGGGTCTGTCTGGACACGGCGCAAAACGTAAACGCCGGAGCGGGGTGCGACTTTCAATTGCGCCATGTTCGCCTCTGGTTGGACAGGGGAGACGCGGGAGTGCTCGCAATGTCTGCGTGCGTAACATCTGAATATATTCAATAACGGTGGCGAGAATGGTGAGGGGCAAGGGGTAGTTAACTGGTATTGCTAAACTGATAAGTATATGTATAGATATAACTATAACTGCGTGTGGCTTTGCTCAGGAGCCAGTCTTTTGCAGAAAATCTGATTCTACACAAGTAGGCTTATATGCCAAGTGCACGTAATTTGATGAATATCTATGGCATCAGCCTTAACCTCCCCACACACCCGACGCGACGTGCTCTTCAATCTTGGGCCTCCCCGAAGTCTCGACCCCTCCTCCGGGACTACTTACGGATATCGTTGTCTGACGGCCCTGGGGCCTGGCGAGGGGCCCCAGAGGCCTGCAGCAACGAAAAGCCTGCGTCTCGCCTTCTTCGGTGTTAGATGATCATGCTGGGGACCTTCTTCGAGCAACTCGCTCCACTCGTGCGTCGAAGCTGCGTCTAACGAACTCGAGTCGAACCTGAGTCGAACTCGAGTCAAAGTTGAATCGAGCCGAAGTCGAACAGATCTGTCAGGTGGGCACCGGGAGGGTCCCCAGAACGAGCATCGAGCCAGTGCGCCGGAGGTGTGGGTTTGCCCTCCTGCCAGGGGCCTCCGGGCCCTCGTGGGGAGCACCACAAGGGCCCCCCCGCCCTCTCGGGTCGGGCCAGCCCCTCCCCTCCCCGTGCGCCTCGGGCCCTCCTCGGGGAGGAGTGCACTGGCCGTGAAGAGAAAGGCGGGCGGGCAAGAGCACGAGACGCGAAGAGAAGAGACGAAATGTCAGTGTCCTCGTCCGAGCTCGGCGAGCGGCGGCATCCCCCTCCAGACCTGGCAGAGGCGAGCCTGGAGCGCCCGGACCAGGATCCTCCTCCCCCACCTCCTCGGGGAGGAGGCGGGGGAGGAGGATCCTGGCTGGGGCTGCGCACCCCCTGCTCTTTGTGGGCGGCGCGCAGGAGGGGGGCAGGGGGAGGGGGGAAGGCCTCTTGGAAGGAGGCTGCCTCTGCGAACGCGCCGGCCCTGCCTCTATAGAAAGAGGGCCCGCGCCTCGCAAGAAGCAGGGGTGCGTGCGCAGTGGCTCTACGCCCTTGCGGGCATCTCGTCTTTTTATCCATGATCGTTGCCCACACTTCTGCACGCGATTATTCGACGTTTAGGGTGTTGGCCACAGCGCCCAGGTCTGTTTCAATGCCATGCTGTTTCTTAGACCGTCCTGCCGCTAGGATCCCAGTTGATCTGAGTTCGCCTGAAATAAAAGACGAAGACGTGGAGGAGCTCTGCTTTGTTCGCTCATTGTCGGGCTTCCTCGGGGAAGACTCACAACAGCGGCCAGCGCAGCTGGAAGAACCAGTGTGGCGTCCAGGACTGGCCCCAGGGACCGACTCTCAGCGCAACCAGTCCACGGGCCGACCTAGTTCTCCAGGAGTCGCGGAAAAAACACGACGGAGGTCTTTCGTTGCATTCCGCATTCTGGTGGGCGATTTCGGGCCCCTGGGCGTTCAAAAACAGCCCGGGACGAAAGCTTATCCCAGGGATGAAGTCGAGGGCTCCCAGTCGTCCACATTCGTGGCGCCAGAGGTCCAGGGGGAACGGAAACAAGGCGATAAATCACGTTTGTGCGTTTTTACTTTTTGGATGGCCCTCGTCACTACGGCTGCGGCCGCCCCGAAAACCTGGTCAGAGGGCGTTTCGAGATAGGTCGGGCAACCAAGCCAAACTACTGTCACGAAACTTACGTTATTCGGAGGCTTTCAGAGGTATTCGAAGGGTGTTGTAGACTTCGGAAGCCTTCATGACAAAGTATGTGATGCGTACGTTGGGCTTATGAACAAAATCTCGAGGTTTAGAGCAGCTATATAGGTTTCATGTGCACTGAGAACGTCCGCGGCATCATGAGCTTTAGTATAGAGAATCGGAACGCCCAACAACTGTTTGCCCCACGAGCTACGGCCGAAAAACTGAAATCACTCTGCAACTCTATGAGACATATGTTCGGTTTTTCGATTTCATCTGAAAAATTCGGCAATTATAAATGTTGTATGCAAACGAAAAAGGGTCAGCAGTATCAGAAGTTTTCGTTCACATGGACCATTAGCCTGAGATCGGTTTGCTGCTCGAGCTGTGCTCGAAAAACTATTCGTACTCTGCAACTTGCTCGGGCATATGCTCGGTTTTCCGATGTATGGATCAGCTACAAAGGTTATATGTGAACCGAGAGCTTCAGCAGCATCGACAGCACCCGTATAGAGGATCGGAACGCCTGAGATCGGTCTGCCATTCGAGATGTGGCGGAGGAAAAAGCAAAAACAAACAACAACAAAAAGGCACTCTGCGGCCGAAAAACTGCTCACACTCTGCAACTCGTGGGCAGATGTTCGTTGTTCGACATCATCACAATAAATAGAGCAGCTACAGATGTCTTATGTAGACAAGCATGTTCAGCAGCATCAGAAGCTTCCGTTTACATGGTCCAAGAGCCTGGAATCGGTCTGCTTCTCGATCGATGTCGGAATATGATTCGCACTCTGCACCTTGTTGGGGCACATGCTCGGTTTTTCGACTTGATCTCGGGACGTGGAGCAGCTACAGAATGTGCACCAAGAGTTTCAGCAGCATCAAAAGTACTAGTCAACAGGTTCGCCCGCGGGCTAGAATGAAACTTGTCATGGCTCGGTTTGTCGAACATTGTGAAAGATTTGACAACGCATTGAAGAATCCAAGAATTTGAGCTGAGCATTGAGTCACGCTGAGCTCGCTGGTGAAAGTCGCATGGCTGTATCTGCAGCGTTCCTATCGTTTCACTACCAGAAAATAGCCGAGTATGGCTAGTTGTTTGGTGTCTGCGCTCATAACAGACCCTAGCCAAGCCTCTAGATACTTCAGACTAGCGCACCTGCTTATTATCTCCTGATTTCTGTGCCGAAGAGCTCTCAAGCTCATCTGCAGCCCAAGTTAAGTGAAGAAATTCACCACCATTTCGAAAAAAATCTGTCGAATACGAATAGTGTTGCAGACATGGCTCGAGTAGCAGAATGAGTTCAGAGCTCTAGATGCTTCAGCCGAACGCGCCTGATGATTCTGAATCGATTACGTGGGCGTACCAGCTGCGTCGCTATGCTACAGCTCGAGTTAAGTACAGAGCACCGACAGCGCCTGTCAAGATGCCTCAAAGGATACGAATAGTTTCGCGGACCCAGCTCGAGTAGCGGACCGAGTTCAGACCTCTGGATGCTTCAGACGAACGCGTATGATCATTCTGGATCGCTTATGTGTGCGTACCATCTCTGTAGCTCTTCTTCAGCTCGAGTTCAGTGCAGAATCTGAGAGCACCTGTCAAGAGAACTCCAAGAATACGAATAGCTTCGCGGACCTA